TATGGAATCAAAGGAGATCATTTTGAAGCTTTAAAATTTGACTGCCCTGCTGGATTTTGGACTTGCATGGGCCTGTAGCCTTTTTGTTTTGGCCAATTTCTCTAATTTGGAATGGCTGTATTTACCCAATGCCTATGCCCCCATTGTGTCTAAGAACTAACTAACTTGCTTTCAATTTTACAGGCTCATAGGTGGAAGAGACTTGCCTTGTCTCAAATGAAACATTGGATGGTGGACTTTTGAGTAAATGCTGAAATCAGTTAAGACTTTGGGGGACTGTTGGGAAGGCATGATTAGTTTTAAAATATGAGGACATGAGATTTGGGAGGGGTTAGGTGTGGAATGATATAGTTTGGGTGTTTCCTTACCCAAATATCATCTTGAATTGTAACTCCCACAATTCCCACATCATGGGAGGAACCCAGTGGGAGGTGATTGAATTATGGGAATGGGTCTTTTCTGTGCTGTTCTCTTTCATAGTGAATGAGTCTCATAAGATCTGATGGTTTTAAAAATGGGAGTTTCCCTGAACAAGCTCCCTCTTTGCTGCCATCCAGGTAAGATGTGACTTGCTCCTCCTTGCCTTCCACCGCGATTGTGAGGCCTCCCTAGCCATGCAGAACTCTAAGTCTGTGAAACCTCTTTATTTTGCAAATTGCCCAGTCTTGGGTATGTCTTTATCAGCAGCATGAAAATGAATTAATACAGGTTCTTGAATTCTTAGAGACCATTGTAGGGTTATTAATTGGGCTAATTTCAATCTTGTTGTGTCTCAGGAAATAGGGAGACCCAAGAAGAGACAGCAAGATTGGGGAATGGCTGGTCAGTGGAGCAGCCAGAGGACACAGGACATTTATCAGTTAAATTTGCCATCTTATATGGGTGCAGTTTGTGGCACCCCAAAAAGAATACATAGTGACATTAAAGATCACTGGCCACAGATAACCATAACACATATAATAATAATGAAAATGCTTGAAATATGGCAAGTATCTCTAAAATGTGGCACAGAGACACAAAGGAAGCACATGCATTGGAAAAATGACTGTGACAGACTTGCTTGAGGCAGGATTGCCACAAACCTTCAATTTGTAAAAAAAATGCAGTATCTGTGAAATACATAAAGTGAAGTGAAATAAAATGATATATTCCTGTATATGGTATGTTTCCCTTACTTTTCAAGTCTTAAAACTTTGGGATTCTAAATCACAACAGCTTCCTTTCTGATGCGCAAGTGGTAGGAAAAGAGTCTGGGGCACACAGAGGTCCTGCTGCATGTCCAGCATCAAACAGCTGGTAAGTGATAAATATAGGATTCAAACCAAGGCCTGTGCACCTCAAGAAACTGCCTCTGAATGGTTAGCCCAGTACTTCCTGACCTTTTTCATATCACAGGGCAGAAAGAAAATAAAAATTGTTGTTTAACCCATTGGGGGAAGAGGATGAAGCTGTTTGGGAACAGGAAAAGTGGCCCTAGGCTGTCTGAATTGCTGTCATTCCAGAGTTTTGCACAGCTCACCCATTCACACAACCTGTAGGATGCAAGTGGGGAGTCTGCTCAGACATCCAACTTTCATTTAATGAACATTATTCACCCCCTTACAAGGTTCAACAGTGGTGTTTAAGGACAGGACTCTTGAGCTAGCCCACCTGGCTTTGAATACCTATTTTCCAGTTGTTGGACCTTGGGTGAGTTGCTCAAACTTTTTGTGCCTCAGTTTCCTCATTTGTAAAATGGAGATGACAAAATGGAGATGATTGTAACTTCCAGTGCAAAGCAGCTACACTCCCACGGTTCCTAAAGAAGAAAGGAAGTGGTGAAACTGGTGTGGGGGCATTTCCGAGCTCAAGGTGACCCACATGGCTTTATGTGATGGCAGATTGGGAGGCAGCAGCTCCTCAAACCCAGTCCTTGAATGAAAGCTGCAGATACCTACCCTTGCCCATTCTCTAGGCAAGGCTGTGCTTGTCTTATGGGAGACTGTGCTTTTCCTACACAGACTGATGAATGGTGGAGGACCCACCTGAATCAGCTCCCAGAAGAGTAAGTCAAGAATACAGAGCTGTTGAGAAAGCCTCAACTAAACCTTATTGAGTTTCTCCTTGTATTTCAGCATTTTGGGAACCATTCCCTAGGCATGTGTTTACCCTTGACATTTCTAAAATCAAACCCCACATCTCACAGGCATAGTTCAGAGATGGAAAAGGTAAGATTGATATCCCTGTCTAAAATACTATGCCAGCCAGGTTTCCCAGAAACCACTTGATTTCAGGTTCTTTTAGTAAATGAGCTGAATGGACCAAAAAAGTAGGTAAACAGAAACATACTTCTAATTCAGGAAGACCGTGTGTCTTCATGGCCCCCTCCAGACTCATGCAAGGCCCAAGAAGAGGCTGGTTTTCTTAGCTATTCAACCACAAGCCAGTTTATGGTTCTGTCTCTTGTCCTTTTACCTTAGTATGGAAAGACTACATCTGCTGGTGGCAATGAATGTGCTGATCTAGAGGGAAGGGACTCAATGTTTTGGTGCTGGATGAATTGGAGTAGAGGCCAGATGCCTACTTGATGGGCTTCTTGGCAATCTGATGGGAATTCTCAGCATCATCATGTCCCCTTGCTCCTCTCTTTCCTGGAGTCCTGAATGAAGTCACACCTCCCAGACCCAGGATGGAGTGTCCACCTCCTCCCTGTGTTGTATCTTGAGGTTTGACATCATTGAGTCAGGACCAGGTTCTGGGTGAAGCCTTACAGTGGTAACCCCACTGTCACCCCCAAATTGGTGGCATCCACATGCCTGATGGTTCTTACCTTAGTTTCTGCCCAGTTATCTTGCCTAGGGCCAAATTCTTCTAGTCCAGGGACTTTGTCCTGAGTCCTAGCTCAGGGTTTAGAAACGAAGCCTTTCCCTACTAGCCTCTCTTCTTGGGGGTGGATCCAGCTCACCGTGGCTTGTCTGCTTACTGGTGTCTCTGCTGATACTGGCTGTGGCTTTGAGATGGGCCTTATGCTCTGGGGTAGACCAAAGCTTGATGATCCACATCAAGTTTTCTGTTTTTTAGATACTGTGCCTTCACAGCCTACCTACCTTTTGGAGACTAGCCTTTTTGCTAGCTTTGTTTGCCAAGCCTCGACCTACCTGAGCTCAGCTCCCCACCTGCATCTGGTGGTTCCAAGTCTCAGCAGGCATAAAGCTTTACTTTGTTTAAATGTCCTCAGTCTGCTGGACTGAACAACCCATGGGGCTTTCCTGACCTGGGATTCTCTGAGTCTATGAAGATTGTAACAGCCTCTGGCATTGGTAGAGGGCTTTACAGTATGCTGAGGCTTTTTGCACGTCATCTTCACATTCCATTGGGGCCTTGCACGAATTTGGAGTGGGGATACTTCTTTAATGTGTATATAGTTTCCTAGAGCAAACAGCATCCCAAATGTGATTCAAAGTTCAAGGTTTAGCTGAACCTCAATTCCCTCTCTGCTTTGTGCCTCAAGAGAAGACAGCTTTACTTCTAACATTAGGGTCCCACTTGAGATACCTCAGATAGGTGTTTTTTGAGGGTATATCTCCTGTGGATTTGTTACCTGGGGCTAAGTTTCTTTTAAATGGGATGGTGTTCAGAGTCAACTGTTTAGAGAATGACTGGGATTTTGTAATTTTCGTTCAATTACTCAAACCTTGTACCTCCAACATAGTGCTTATCAGAATAGCTTAGTGCTTATAAACATGGACTCTGGGCTCAGAAAAACTCAGGTACCTGTGGCATAGGCAATTCCATTTCACGTTTCCTTTTGGTAATGGAACACAGGAATAATCCATTCCCTAACTTCCCCTGCAGTGAAGTGGGACAGAAAGATAATGTATGCCTGGTAACTAAAACCTTTTAAGTGATTCTCGTTTCTTTCCCTTTTTTCTCCTCGGTTGGCTGGATAGAGACGGCCAAGAAGAGAACTCCAATGCAGAAGGAGGTTAGGTCCCCCAAAAATTGCATGGGAGACCCGTTGACACATATCCAATAGAACATGAGCAAGAAATACGTCTTTTATTGTGTTTTAGCCACTAAGATTGAGAGTTATTTGTTATGGCAGTTGGCCTTTATTGAATAATACAGTTATGAGGCTAGTTCTACAACTAACTACATGACCTTGGCCAAATCCTTGCATTTTTCTGGGCCTTCTCATCTGTATGAAATTTTCCTGGCAGTCCTGTGGTCATAAGCACGTAGGTGTCTTCCAGGAAACAGTGTGCTTGCCCACAGTAACTCACTTACCCATTGCCTTTCTCGTTGTTCCTCCAATGTACTGGACGTGATCTGGGCTTTTGTACTTGCTGTTACTTTTTCTTATGAAACTTTTCTCTCAGGTCTTATGGATCACCTCTTTCTCATTATTTAGGGCCAATCTTTGACATCACATCTTCAAAAAAGCCTTCCCTGGTGACTCAGTTAAATCAGCATCCCTGTCCTCCCATTCTTTATCCCAAGTGGCCAACTTAATTTTCTTTGTTGCCTCTACTTCTGTCTGAAAGCAGATTATTTATGTATTGGTTAATAAGAATATTATATATTATTCCCCAACCAGAATGTTAGCTCTATAAGGGAAACACTTTTGCTAGGATTTCCCTGGAGCATAGGACAGTCATAGGAACATTGTAGGTGCTCAGCGAATACTGATGAATGTAAAGGTCAAATGCTGTTAGGATTACAGGAGGTCATTATGTAAAAAATTTGGCACTTGACCTGGTACATGGCAAGTGCTCAAAAATAGCAGATGGTGGTGAGTATCTGATTGTATGGAATTTCTGTTCACTTCATATGTCCCTATTTTCCACCTAGTTGTAAGTCTCTCAAACTTTCAAAGTCAGAAACTAGATCTCATTTATCTTTGCTTCCCAATGAACCTTGTACACAAGAGGTGACCAATAAATATTTGTGAAGAGAACAGTTGAAGAGAACCTCAAATTGTGTCCTTGATCTGGTACATTCAAAGACCAACGAAACCATCCTTGTTCTAAAAAAAAGTAAACCTTTTTATTAGTATATTTATTTTATATATAAAAGAAATACAAAAAAAAGAAACACAAAGAAAATGCTTTTATGGCAAATCAGATTTGTCGGTGCCTTCAGCTTGGGCTCCAGGCTCCGTGCCACTGGGTGACAACAAAGTCCGCCGGTTATAATGACCCTTGATGATTCCCGTGTTGTTGTTCTCATTGAGTAGCTGCTTCTGCCTTTGCCTATTGAGGGACTGGACAAGTCCCAGGACAACCGCAGCCAGGGAGTACTGCCCAGGCAGTCTTCTTGGGGGCAAGATGAATGGGTTGGGTTGGACTCTTCCCAGGAGAAAGTACGTTTTGATTTTTCCTTCCTGTTCACTGATGCCCTTCACATAGATCTCCCCTCGGTAATCAAAGGCAAAGCCCTGGTCCTTCAGGATGAGATAGGTCTCCTCTGGGACTTGGATCCGGCCACTAACCCCTGTGCTGTCCATTCGGCTTGCCAGGTTCACAGTTTTGCCCCAAATGTCATACTGTGGTTTCTTAGCGCCGATAACGCCAGCTACCACTGAGCCATGGCTGATGCCTAGGGGGTGAACCAAAGGAGCAAGAAGTCAGAGGCAGAAGAGGTACACTGGGGGTGTCAGAGGGAGAAGAGGGTCATTGGGGTGTCTAGACCCCTCCCTGGGATAGTGATCACTATGTGTGAGGTCTCTGTGGATGAACGGGAGGGTCCAGATCCTGCCCCCAGTCACTTATTAGATTACTTATTAGATTACCTATTTGGACCTCACTTTTCTCATCAATAGACTGGAAATAATTAAAGGAAGATTTAGTGAGATAATATAAATAAAACCACTGTGGCATAGTGCCTGGCAATCAGTGAGTGTTCAATTGAATGTAATTATTATTTTCATATGAACACTGACTTGTCTCAGTCCGTGGGATGATCAGAGCATGGACCAGAAGTAAGGACCCTGGGATCTCCTGCTTCTACTGACACAGTGCTCTGAGAGCCTGGACAGACCTTTTTCCTCTCTGTTTTAGCCCAGGTCCTCAGTATCATTCCCTTGGTCCATGGCGATGGCTTTCTAACTGTCCTCCCTGTCTCCTCTGTTGCCCCCTTGAGCTCATCCTCCATACTGCTGCAGGAGTGGGAGGGCGCTTTCTGATCAAGTTGCACATCTGATCAAGTTATGACTCACTTAAATATCTTCCAGGGCTCCTTTCACTTACAGGATAAAGCCAATGATCCTTAGAATCACAATCAAGAACTTCTCTCATATGGCTTTTGCCTTATTTTCCAGCCTCATTTATCCCACTCTCTTCTTCACTGCTGCATTATAGCCACACTGAACTGCTGGAGTTTTCCTAACCTTCCAGCCAGTTACCCACCTTTGTGCCTTCGTCCTGACTTTCTCCCTGCTTGGGCTATTACTTCCTCACACTTCCACAGTTTATTGGTAAATACTTTTAAAGACAGTTTCAGTGCCTCCTTTGCTAGGAAACACAGAATTCTAGAAATGGTAGCATTTCACCAAACATGTTAGTGGGCATGTATGTCTCCAATAGACAGCATTATTTCATTCTACAAACATTGACTAGGCACTTGCTAGGAGCCAGGTACAGTCCTAGGCATTGGGGATATGGTGGGAAAGGAAAGAAATACAGCCCTGGTCCCCATGGAATTTACCTTCTACTGGGGAGAGATAGAAAATAATTTTACAAATGTAATGTAATATTAATGAGTGATTAGGACTACAAAGAAAAATCCATGTGGGTAAAACAATGGAGAAAGATGGAAGAGAGTATATTTTGGAGTAAGGGAGTTAGCAAAGACCTTGTTGAGCAGAGATTTGAAGAAAGTGGTGGGAATAGCCATGCAGGTATCTGGGTAAGATTATTCCAAGCCAAGGCAAAAGCAAGACACACATACACACTGATATAATTGACTGGAAATTTGAAAATCTCACTCTATAGAGTACATGGGAATCACAATGATAGTTAGCTCTTTAAAATTTGCAGAGAACTTTGACAGCCAATATCCCATTTGATTCTCGTATTATTATTGTGAGGGAGGCAGAGGAGGTAATAATTTAACACTCAGCTTACATAGGAGGAAACGGAGACACAGAAGGTTTAAATGATTCACCCAAAGTCATACAGCTGGTTACAGCAGACCGAAAACACAAATTGAGATGCTTAATTCAGTTGGGAAGTTAATTTTCCAACGTCTGAGATCAGTGAAACTATACTAGGAGTATAATATGTCATGACAAGGGTTGACCCTGATTTGGCAACATCTTCAGAATTTACTTAGAATGTCTCTGTTCAGCATTATGGTTCCCTTTTTATTCCTGGTTCAATTGTGTAGTCAACAATTTCAGAAATGACATTGATAAGATTGATGGAAGCTGTGGGAACAAGCCTTGAACATCCCACCCATAGATCAAAAACATAAAATATAAGCCCTTTAATGCAAAGAACAAAGACATATGGCATTCCTTAGATGACAAGTCAGGTATTGGTATTTCTTGACCTCTTTTTCTCGAAAGCTGCTAAGGTAGAAGCAGATAAAGTAAAATGGCATATCAGCCAGAAGATGTCTACAATGTGAGGACTGTAGCAAAAGTTATTTTAAACTGCACTCTGGCAGCCAAAATGTCATTGTCTCAGAGTTAGGAAATGCTGGAGCTGCTGCTGGTGTGACTGTTTGGCTGTGTGATCTTAGGCTAGTTACTCCCTTTTTCTACACCCATGTTTACTCATCTACAAAATGAGAATGTGGACTAGACGGGGGGTTTTCAGACTGCATTTTGGGAGATCATTGAGGCTCAGTAGAGATGTGGAAGGAATGGCAAATTATAAAGGATTATTATTGATTGCAGTGATTATTGTTATGTTGTTGCTTTGCACAATGGTGTTTTTAAGCCCAAAGAAAGGGCGAGCTTTGTAGCTGAGTAAAGCCTGTCCCTGGAAATATATTATCTGCCATCCCCAGGAGTAGAATCCTGCTTTTGTCTGAAGGAATTATCCTGAAGACCCTGAGAGGAATACAATGACCACAAGCATTGAGCTATCCAGGAGTCAGAATTAAATGACTAATTAGTCAGCTACATCTCTATGCATGACCTTGCATGGGCAGGCAAGTTGGAAGAGAGTTTCACAATAGTCTAGCATTTGCCAAAGGCTGGCTGCTTTGTATTTCTGCACAGAAGCCAGTATTCTACTCTTGTTTCCAGCATCTCCACTGAGAGGAAACTAAGAAAAGACCTGAGCTGACCCTGTCCCTATCCTTGGCAGGGTCATGCTAGGTCTATTGCATTCTGCAGGAAAAAGCTTCCTTGAATTGGTGCCCAAGGTAGGGGAGGGTCTGTCGGAGCAAGGTCAGCTGGCTCTATCAGGCCCCACCTGCAGCTGCTACTCACCAATCCGGAGTTCAAAATTGTTGAATGAATGCTTGTTGATCTCCTGTATGCTTTCTGTCAGGGCGAGTGAGAAGTCAGCCAGAGCACACAAATGTCCCCACTTGTCTTCACATTGCTGAAGCAAACATGAGGAGAAGAATTCATTTAATGTGGAATGTGGGGAACATTAACATTTCTGCAGCAGGGGGCTTTATGTCCTAACCCAACCCTACCTGCACATCCCTTAAAGGAAATAATCATGTGGGTGAATCCCTCTATTCTCAAGTCACCGGTATCTCAGAACATGGGAAGACATGATATTTGCTTGCAAGAGTGTAGTATATGTGGGTCATTGTGTTCCTTCGTCCACATCTACACCTGTCTGTTCAGGTTGATGTAGCATCAATTCCTGAGTGTATGCTCACTGGCGTGTGTGTGAATGGGTGTGAGTGTATGTGTGTATGTGAGTGTGTGTTGGGGGGGTGTGTGGGTATGTGTATGTGCTCTGTGTATGTGTAGCCTTTCCAATCTAAGAACTATTTCCTTTGAATTGCTCACAGTGCGTGTTTAAGGGATACATTTGCTTACAAAACTCCTCAAGGAAGTGCTGCATAAGCCTCTGGGCCTCTCTGAACCTCAGTTTCCAAATCTATAAAATGGGGATAAGCATACTTGCCCTTCCTACTTCGTAGGTATTGAATGACATTTTTTATATGAGAGAACTTTGTGCCCCTGTAGAACAGAGGTTAGCAAATAGTTTCAATAAAGGCCAGATAGCCACTATTTTAAGCTTTGTGAACCATATGGTCTTTGTTGTGACCCTCAACATTGCCATTTTAGCTTGAAAGGAGCAATAGGCAAAATAGAAATGAATGGGCATGACTGTGTTCCAATGAAGTTTTATTTATAAAAACAGGGTGGGCCAGATTTGACCTGTGGGCTGTAGTTTTCTGATCCCTGCTGCACACATACCAAATAATAACCAGCCTGAGTTTCGTCCCAGATAGTCACTCTTGAAGTATTTTGTTGTTTTTAGTTGGAAAAAAGCATAGGAAGGATTGGAAGAAATTGATGAGAATTCCATTTCCCCAAGTATCTGGACTCATATTCATTTAACACTAACTGAGGACTTTACTAGATGCAAGGCTTTGCTTGGGGAGCATGACATTATCTAAGATAATTCATCCGTTAACCCTGGAAGGTAGACAGTGTTGCTATTTAACACCAGTGCCTGGAACACAGTCAACACTCCAAAAAGCAGCAGCTATTATTATTATTATGTAAGACTTTTGAAAGACAAAATAAAGATAAGAAAAAAGAGGCAACTATTAGGGTTTTAGTAAGATCCACAATGAAATCACAATAGGGTATTTCTTGGCTCTTGATTTTGTTCAAGGGAACAATGAGGTTCAGAACAAAGCCTAGAAGTTTCTCAAAAAAGCAGCATGGCTTCATCTGGTAGACTCTACTTACCTTGGGGGCAAATCCACATCACATAACTATTACAATCCAGTCCATTAGATTTTCTCCCTATCTTTCCCCAAGGATCTTGGCGACAGAGGCTTCACCACCGTCAGTGACATGACAACAGCAAGACCCCTGCATTGCGTTGTGGCTGAGTCCAAAGAGTCTTTTACCTGTTTTTCAGGTGACAGGCCTGACACGGCCATGTAGGTGCTGCCAATGGTCTTAATCTTTTCAATGTCTTGAAATCGGTCTTCACCAAGCAACTGAAAGAGAGCCAGGCAATGGTGTTAGCCCTGGTGTTTATTCTTCCAGCAGCCTGGGGCTCCTGAAAACAGACCCCTGGCTCACAATGAGCTACCTCTGATGGTTCATCATCCTCAAGTTATCTGCTTTTCTCTCTGAGAATCATGCTTTCAGCCAGTCACATGTATTTGATGAGCACTTGCTAAGGGTCAGGAGTGGAGATGGGCGTAGCCTGGTACTTAAGAGGTAGGTCTGCCCCTTCACATGTAAGTCAGATCCTGTCTCTGCTCTGTGCAAAACCCTGCTATGGCTTCTTGTTTTACTCAAGGTCAAAGCCAGTCTTCACTGTGACTTGCAAGACTTGCCAAGACCTGTCCCCTCTCTTTTTGTCTCCCTCTCTCACTCTGCTCCAGCTGCACTGATCTCCTTTGCCCCTTGCCACACTGACCTGAGAACAAGCCAAGCCTGCTTCAGCCTCAGGACTTCTGCACCTGTTGTTCTCTTGCTGGGCTACTCTTCCCTCCGACAACTGCATGGCTTACTCCCTCACCTCCTACAGGTCTTTCTTCAAATCCCATCTTTGCAGTGCAGTCTTATTGACCACCATATTTAAAATTGAATACAGCATCCCATCCCCACATACATATTCTTTCTTCCTTCCCCACATACATATCCTTATCTTCCTTCCCTGTTTTACTTTCTCTCCTTAGCACTTATCCCTGATATTGCTTATTTATTGTCCTCTTCCTCATGGGAATGTAATATTCCTGGAGCACATATTTTCCCCTGTTGTGTTTACTACTCGGCACCTAGACAGAGTGTAGAGACGAATGAATGAGTGAATGATTAAATGAAAGAATGTGTACAATCCTGGGACATTTCCTCTACCTTTACCTGCGGTTTGGGTTTTAATGCTAAGAGAGGGAAACCTTGGTGTCTTATTAGCAATGGTGGTAGGCAGAATAATGCTTCCTGAACCTAGGCCCCAGAGATGCCCATGTCTTAATTCCTGGAACCTGTGCATATGTCACTTTACATGGCAAAAAGGACTTTGCAGGTGTGATAAGGCAAAGGATCTTGAGGTGGGGAGGTTTCCTGGATTATCTGGATGGGCTCGATCTAATCACAAGGTCATTACAAGTGAAAGAGGGAGGCAGGACAATCAGAGAAGGAGTTGTTATGGTGGAAGAAGAAGTCTGAGTGACCTGATTGCTTGCTTTGCAGATGGAGGGAGAAGGCAATGAATCAACGAATGCAGGTAGTCTCTAGAAGCAAGAAAAGGCAAAGAAACAGATTCTCCCCTAGAGCTTCTGGAAGGAGCACAGCCCTGTAAGATTCATTTTGGATTTCTGACCTCCAAACAGTAAAATTATAGATTTCTGTTGTTTCAAGCCACTAAATTTGCAGTCATTTGTTATAGCAGCAGTAGCAAACTAATACAATAACTATTCATTGAGTTCTTATATGTTGGATAAACAAGATAGATGAGCTCTACCAACCCAAGTAGGGAGGTCAGATGTTAAAAATAAATACACAAAACATGCCCTAGTTCAATTTTAATAGAGTTTATGTTGAAAACATACAAGGTAGATGGATGAGGAGATCAGGCCATTTTGATCTAATCTGGAGGATCTTGGAAGGGATCCCTCAGCAAGTGATTTCCAGCTTCAGTTCTAAAGGGTGAGAAGGGGTTTTTCTAGCAGTTGAGTGAATGAATTTGTGTGTGTTGGGGAAGCTGGGGTCATGGGAAGGGGAACATCCAGAAATAGGGGTCAGCATAGATGAGGTCTGGAGGTTGGGGAGAATGTACAGGAGGTCCAAAGAGTGAAGAAGAGGCCAGTTTGGCCACGGTGTGGTAAGCCAGGCTTTAAGCTGAAGGAAAGGAAATTCCTTTGAATTTCCCCAAAGTAATCTCTCGATGATATAGTTTCCAGATCTATAGTACTCAGTTTACACGTTCACGCCCTTTCCCAAATTCTTGGGAATGGCATGGGCCAACGACTAGAACATGGTTCTGTGTGGTTCAGCACAGCTGGGTTGGGACTCCTCTGCTTTTACACTATATAGTTTTTGGCTTCAAAGTCAAAACTAAACAGGAATAAATCCTGTTCTCATGAAGCTTATACTCTATTGTGGGTGAAGAACAATTAAAAAGAAATTTTATAGCAGGCTGTATGCCGATGGGAAAGATCTAGCAGAGAGGGTGATGGATAGAGTCAGGGACAAAGGGAGAATAGCTGCAGCAGCATGCCTAGGTGACAAGGGATGGGACCTATGCATGCCTGTGGGGCTCGGCCCTCATCAGGAGCCCTGAGAGTTCCTCCCCATTCCTGGAGAGAAGGCACATATGTGCACACAGGAGCAGGTGCAGGTAGGTGGAGCAGGCTGGAGAAGTGCCTGGAGAAGACAGGAAAAGCGTGCTGACCTCTGGTTTAAGAAATTGCTTTTGACATACTGATTTAAAGGCAGGAACTAGCTCTAGCCTTCCTCTTACATGTTGTCTGCCCAGGGGCTATGGCGTAGGTATTTCTCTGTTTCAAGGAGAAAGTACCTGAGACTTGGTGATGGAGCTGGCTCACCTCCAAGGCTGCCCAGGACACAGCTTTAACCTCATGTCTGGAGTGAGCCTTTGGCAGGAGATTATAGTGCACACCTGCTTCTCCAGGCACTTCTACAGCTCACTCCACTTACCTGCACCTGTGTGCACACATGTGCCTCTCTCCAGGTGTGGGGAGAAACTCTCAGTGCTCCTGCTGAGGGCCGAGCCCCACAGGTATTCACAGGCTCCATCCCTTGTAGGCATGCAACTCCAGCATTCTCCTTTGTCCCTGACTCCATCCATCTCACCCTCTCTGCTAGATCTTTCCCATTGGCATACAGCCTACTATGAAATTTCTTATCCTACAGAAGTCTTTCTTGACATCACTTTCCTTTCTGCTTGTCTCCTGTACAACTTCTGAAAAGAGTTGTCCAGACTGATTGCTTCCAATTTCCTCCTCCTCATTTTTTCCTAAGCCCAGTCCTGCCATGCCACTGAAACTGCTCCTGTCCAGATCCCAGAGGCCCTCCATGTCCCATGCTGCTTGCTGTCCTCAGCCTCACTTCTCTTGGGCTACCAGTAGCACTGGAGTGCAGTGATGAGATCTCGGCTCACTGCAACCTCCACTTTCGGGGTTCAAGTGGTTCTCCTGCCTCAGCCTCCTGAGTAGCTGGGATCATGGGATCACAGGTGCCCACCACCACGCCTGGCTCATTTTTTGTATTTTTAGTAGAGATCGGGTTTCACTATGTTGACTGGGCTGGTCTCGAACTCCTGACCTCATGATCCGCCCGCCTCGGCCTCCCAAAGTGCTGGGATTACAGGTGTGAGCCACCGCGGCCGGCCTCTATTGTTTTAAGACACCAAATGTGTGGTACTTTGTTACAACCACACTAGAACAAATACACATAATAATAAAATGAACATTTAATGATCATAATTATGTGCCAAGTGTATTAGTATGCTCAAGCAGCCATAATCAAAACAACTTAACAGAAACTCATTTCTCACAGCACATGAATTTTGGGGAGAAGATACTATTCAGTCCATCGCGTCAAATACAGTCTTAAGTGCTTTTTAATATTTGCATTTAACTTACAATGACCCTACTGTATCTCATTTTGTAGATGGGAAAACTGAGGTGCATAGAGGGATTAAATAACTTGCTTAGGGACACAGAGTGAGAAAATGGCTAAATTACATACATTTAAAGCCCTTGCAGGTAACCATTAGATTAAAAATTCCAGGCTAGGGATGGTGGCTCACACCTGGAATCACAGCACTTTGGGAGGCTGAGGCAGGCAGATCACCTGAGGTCAGGAGTTCGAGACCAACCTGGCCTATGTGGTGAAACCCCCATCTCTACTAAAAATAAAAACTCCACAGTAGCTCATATTTTTAAAAATATTCAAAGCATAAATTAAACATTTTAAAGAGATTAAAAAGTAGACTGGAAGAGGGGATGTCCACATATACTATGGCACAGAACTAGGGGCTCTGCCTCCAGTGATCATCTGTTTCTCTGAGTGGCACTTTGAGCTTAATACTCTCAGATCCATTTTGCAGATGAATCAGCAGAGGCTCCATGTGGTAAAATAATGTGTCCCAAGGTCCCAGGGTGAGAGAGGGGAGACAGGACCACACATAATTTTCAGGGCTCAGTGCAAAATGAAAATGTGGAACACCTTTTTCAAAAATTAAGATGTCCATGAGAGCAACAGCAGAACATTAAAACAAATGTGGGTCCCTTTTGTGACTGCACAGGCTGCACGCTTGTGAAGCTGGCCCTGAGTGGGAGAGCTAGGATCAAACTCAAACCTCACTGATTCCTAAGTCTAAACTTTGTCTTCTTATTCCCACTCTTAGCAGACATTTAGACGCAATTTCTGATTCTCTTGCCTTTGCCTCCATTAAAGATTATAATATCCTCAGGGTCTCATGTCATCCTGGGGTGGACAGATAGGCAGACGGAGCAGAAGATGGGTTCTCCACAGACTCTCTTGTTTCAGGCATTGTCTTAAAATTAATCAGGGGCTAAGAAACTTGGAAAATTCCTCCTTGAGAGAAACTCTTCTGGGAACATGGAGAACACAGGAAGGTGCTTTGCTTTAGGGTGTGTGTGTGTGTGTAGCCTGATTTACAGCAGGGGCAGCCTTTGTTTATTATTTTTGTTTCTTGAACTAAAGTGAAGACCCTCTTCTGCTCTCACAGAGATTCTGCCAGTTGTGCCCAAGGTATACAGGTCTTTAGCCTTGGATCATGACTGATCTTTGCTTTCAGACACTAACCAAACATATTTGGTGTTTTGGCAGCCCTTCAGCTGCTAATGTTTCAGCTTTAAAATCCTGGAACATCTTCAATTGCTCACCTCCCTCCCTCTGCCTCCCTGTAACTACTTTCCCCCAGCTTTCTGCTGGCAGTGGACTGATCTGATATGGTCCTGTGGAGAGCAGGTACTCTTCCTTCTCTTCTCTTCAGAACCACTTGACCAAGAGCCAGCTTCAGGCTCTGGTAAGCCTCCCCCTCAGAAGACGATTTGGAGGCAGAAAGGAACTTCATTATCTCATTTAATATCCACGCAGCAGATTTATTTACTCTATAGCTAAAAGTGTCTGCAGGCATAGCGTGGTCCCTGATCAGCCCATTTGTTCACTAGAGCAAATGGAGAAGTTAGATGTGAGAGGGCTCTTCAACCCTTTGTTGAGGTAGGAGCGGTGGGGTGAGGAGCCCTTGAGTTGGGTTATTGCAAACACAGTCTTGGAGAGAGTGATCTGTGAAAAGTTCAGCTTTTCTCTGAACCAGGAAAGAATTTTGCATGATCTCAGATTCCTGTGGTAATTATATCAGCGAGAAGAGAAGCATCAGTATTAAAGTGAACAGCAGGTGTCTGGCTGGAACTCAGCCAGGCAGAATCTAGAGGGCCTCTCTTGACATTAAAAAAAAAAAAAAAAAAAAAAAAAAAAAAAGGCCATGCCTGAGTGACCCAAGGACCCACACAGGCAAGGCTGAGAGTGTTTGGGCTGGCAATTCAGGCTGCATTTTTATGTTTCCTGTTGACTATATTCTCCCCTACCTTCCCCCCACCCTACCTTTCTCTTCCACCTCCTCCCCTTTCCTCCTCTTTTCATCCTTCTTCTCTTTATCGCTGCCTCTCTTCTCTCTCCTGTCTCCCCTCCTCCTCATGTACTTCTCTTCCTCCTCCTCTTAATCATACTTTTCCTCCTGGTTGAATGCCCATGTTGTAAAGAACCCAGCCTCCTAGATCAATCCCCTTTTCTCCAACTTCCCTCTGCAAACACCAATTTCAACCACTAGGGGCACTGCCCTCTTTCTCTGCTTTCCAAGTCTGGAGTGTCTACAATTTGGTTCACTCAGATGCAAATGTAATTCAAAAATACTTTATTCGTTACAAGTTTAAAATATGAGAAGGAGCACTTTTGGAAGATGAGTTACTATAAAGCAAGCTTGTCCAACCTGTGGCCCACTGGCCACCTGTGGCCCAGGGCAGCTTTGAATGTGGCCCAACACAAATTTGTAAACTGTCTTAAAACATTATGAGGTTTTTTTGTGGCGAATTTTTAAAAATCCATCAGCTATCCTGAGTGTTAGTGTACTTTAGATGTAGCCCAAGACAATTCTTCTTTCAATGTGGCCCAAGGAAGCCAAAACACTGGACACCCCTGCTGTAAAGTTCAAAATACAACAAAGCCTGACGTCTTAACCTTTAGTCAGATATTTTTAATAGGGTAATTAAAAAAAATTGGAAGTATGTTTTGAATTGCGTTAACCTATCTTCACCTTACTATCTGCCAGCTTGTTTCTGTCCTCCCATTAATGAATTAATTCCTTTAGCAAGTACTTAGCAAGTATCTGCCATGTTCATCTCTTATGTGCTAGACACAGAGTTGGGCCCTGGACACATAACAAGATACAAGAATATGGTTTCTATCTTAGTAAGCCTATGGCCTAACACAGAGGATAGGAGGTAAAGGTGCTATTGTCACAAAATTGCCTTCCCTTCCCCACCTTACAAGGCCCTCTATACTAGTACACTTACCAGTGACTTCTTGTGTTAGGGCAACTCATAGTCACCCTGCCTCCCACTGGATGGTGAAGCCTTGGGAGGCAAGAAGCGATCATGTCTTATCCATCTTGACCCCCCACAACCATCCCAGGGCAACTACGATAACCGTATTTGGGGTTATGACTTCAAAATCATTACCATGAAATGCCACGTAAGTGAGAAACAGTGCAACACAAATGATTACAAATCAAAGCAGTATGGGAGACTGGCATTCAAATCTTGGCTTTGCCACTTAGTGGTATGTGACCCTGGTCACTTTTGGTGTTTCTAAGTCTCAGCTTTGCTTATTTTTAAAATGAAGGCTAATAATTCCTAGCCTAAGGGTTTGTGTGAGAGGTAAATAGCTATTAAATGATATATATTGAAAATGCTTTGCATTTCTGGCAACACTTGTAAAAACCTATAGAGATTAGTAACATGGGCTGGCTTCTACCCTAGAACTAAGTGGCTAGTGGATGGTAAACAGGGTGGTACTGACGGGTTTCAACCTCTATGATAGGAAGTTTCTCAGAGTATAAGTTTTTCACTAAAAAAGGAGTGACAACATTTACCTGGATAGAGGCCTTCAAAAGTAGAAGTAATGTTTGAATTTACTGTTAAATGAATGTTAACTTTTCAGCTGGTCATGGAGTCAAGGGAGAGAGAATGGGGTAAGGGCGAGGATGGCGTGGCCTCCACGCAGAAAGCACAGTGAGTGAGAGCCAAGTAGGCTTTTAGGCTTGTAAGTAGTCAGGTGGTGCTGGCCAGGTGGCATGCAGTGAGAGGTAAGGCTGGAGAGGAGGCAGGGACAGTAAGTGCAAGGCCCCCAGTGACCTGCTAGAGTTGACGAAGGGGAGCCACGGAAGGGTTTAGGCTTCCAAGGGATGTGACAAAATAGTCCTGCCTTTGGTGGTTGCTAATGGTGAGATGCAGGCAGGGAGAGCAGATAGGAGTTGACTGCCGTTGTCTAGGAGAGAAATGATATGGCCTGAAGCAAGATAAAAGCAGCATTGATGGTGAGAAAAAGGCAGGTGTGAGAGCTATTAAGAAAGTTGATGAGATGTCTGTACACCCACGTTCATCTCAGCATGTTCACAACAGGCAAACTATGGAATCAGCCTAAACGTCCATTGAGAAATGAATGGATACACACACATGCGCATGCACACACACACACACACCGCACACATACACATACACACACACACAGTGGAATACTATTCAAGCACAAAAAGAAGGAAGACCTCTCATTTGCAACAACATGGATGGGCCTGGAGGATACGATGCTAAATGAAATACGCCAGGTACAGAAAAACAAATACATATGATATCACTTATACGTGGAATCTAAAAACATCAAACTCAGAAGCAAAGAGTGGAATGGTGGTTATCAGAACCTGGGGGGTGGGGTGGGAACAGGGAGATATTAGTTAAAGGGTATAAAGTTTTAGTTAGACAAGAGGAATATGTTCTGGAGATCTATTGCATAGCATAGTGACTATAGTTCATGATAATGTATTGCATACTTGAAAACTGCCAAGAGAGTAGATCTTAAATATTTTTGTCACAAAAAAGTGGTAAGGCATGAGGTGATGGATATGTTAATTAGCTTAATGTAATCATTCCACAATGTACACATATATCAAAACATCACATTTTGCACCATAAATATCTACAATGGAAAGAAAGACTTCACTGGACTCAGTAGCTGGATCAAACATAGGGATGGAGGGAGAGGATGCTATTTAGAGTGATACAGTAGTTACTCTTGTTTCCCACCCTAAGCCCTTTGTGGGGCCATCCTCCAAAATGTCATGAGTGCTGGCTACTTACAATGCATTGCCATACCTTTTTTTGGATAATTTGCCGGGCTTCATGAGAACTCCCTTGCTAGAAAGGCCTGGGAGGCTAGGTACCTCTACCAGGGCAGCCCATGACCAACAATGACTGACCAATACAGGTATCCAAAAGCCTGGCCCCCTGCCTCAGTGTGAGACAGTTGTACCATTTATGTCCCTGAGTTCCCTCTGGGGTTAGGCAGGGATTTGGCTTCTTCCATAGCATTTTCTCAATGAATCACTTGCTTCCCATCTCAGGCTTAAGTAACTGGATGGACACTGGTGTCCTTCAAGATGGGGAATGGGGGAGGAGAAGGCCCACTTGTGTCAAGTTTATGAATGGAACTGAAGTACAGCATGAGTATTTCCCCTCACAGAATGTGTTCACTAGACCATTGGAGCCTGGAAGAAGAAACTCCTATCTGTAGTATGTTTATAATTGCAATTAGTTCTCTGACCAAGTGCAAATGGACAATTTTATCTTTGACACTTTGAGAAGATGGAGCAATGCCTGCATCAGCGTCCAGCCTCTGTGGTGTCAGTGCCTGAGTAGTATTGGCCTCATACAGGCTTCTAGTCAAGTCCTGCCTTTTGCCATCTGCCAGCTGTGCGACACTGGGTTACGTTACTTGGCCTCCCTGAGCCTTATGTTCCTGATCCCCCAAATAGAGAAACAATAGCATTTAACTCAGGTGATACTTGTGATAATTAAATCAGATAATGCATGTTTGTGTTATAATGCAGGCTGGAACTCCATAAGTGCAAAAAAATATATAAGTAATTCCTACAATGAATAACACAATGCTTTGGCAATGATGCCCGTTTGTGATTGTAAATGTCCCCAGCTTAGATTTACCTCATCGAAGTCAGCAATGATCTCATTCAGCAAACGCAGGCATTCCACTCCCTGGTTATTCATTTCAGTCTGAGAGTAGAAGTCCGCAAATCCTGGGATGGAGGCAAACATCACCCCGACAGCATCATAGGATTGAGAATACAGCTCCTGGACAGAGACACACAGAGGGCACCAGAATTTGTCATCAGAGGTTTGGTTCTGCAATGATGCTTCCTGTGCACACGTGTGTACACAGGGGCACAGGCACCCACCCACAGACAGAGAGAAAATGAGGCTTGGATATTGTTATGTCAACACTGTGTGTCTTAGTCCATGTGGGCTGCTATAACAAAATACCTCAGACTGAGTGGCTTATAAACAACAGAAATTTATTTCTCACAGTTCTGGAGGCTGAGAAGTCCAAGGTCAAGGTACTGGCAGATTTGATGTCTGGTGAGGACCCACTTTCTGGTTCAGAGATGGTGATTTCTCACTGTGTCCTCAAGTGGTGGAAGAAGCAAGGCAAGTCTTTGGGGCCTTTTAAAATAAGGGCACTAATCCCATCCATGAGGGTTTTCACCTTCATGATCTAATCACCTCCCAAAGTTCCCACCTCCTAATACCATCACTTTGTGAGTTAGGGTTTCAACATACGGATTCTGGAGGATCATGAATATTCAGTCCATTGCACCACAACCACAGCATCATCACCATATGGAAAGTGATGACTGAAAATTCATAGTCTCTAGTCTCAGCTGGGCCCTGAGTTCTGACTGCAAGTTCATTCATTCTTGGTCAGCTTCCTTTTCTTTTCTCCTCAATGGCTAGTCCAAACCCTCAGATCTCCGCTTAACCCTCTACTCTGTTTCTCTCAGTGGATGATCTTACCTTTCTACTTCATTGAGAACATGGTGGTGGCTCTTCGTGGTGACTTACCTCTGTTCCAATCCTCATAGACTTGTCTGTTATTCATTTTCTTCTCTTTCACTTCAACTCCAGGTGATGATGTGTCTGTCTTTCCTTCTCTTGCTGAAGGTCAATACTTATACCTGATCATTTTATAACTTCTTCAGCAACTTACTTTTTCAGTGATCCTTTTCTTTCTCACTTTTTTCTCCTGGTCTCCTCTCCCTGCTCCTCCTCATCCTCTAAGAGTATCTTCTAAGAAAAAGAACAAAGTGGCCTAGATCCTGCAGACACTTGTGGCTATCAACCAGTTTCTCTCCTCCTTGTTTCCAAACTTCTCAAACTAGTTACCTTCACTGCCTATTCCCATACTCTTCATACAGCTGGAATGAAATGAACTAAGAACAGTCTAGCCTGCCAGTCAAAGTGGAAAAATCAATGTACACATGTAACTTTACATCCTACTGGATACCTGCAGATTGGTGTTTTTGTTGATCACCCCAAGATCTTGATTCTCTTGACTTTTTATGCTTTAATGATGTCCTTTGCTTTTCTCATGCCTGGCCCCTTTGAGAATGCCCCCCCCCCCCCCGCCTTTTTTTGCTTCTCTTCCGCCTTACATGTTGGTGATTGCTATGGTTCTGTCCTTGGCCAACTGAATTGTTCAATTTTACAGACTTGCCTGGTCCATCTCTTTCAGTCCCAGCCTTTTCAATACCCATGTGCTGACGGTTTCTAAATTCCTACGTCAAGGTCAGTTATCCTTCCTGGGCTTCAAGCTTCCATGTCTCATCCTTGGTTGCCCTCACCCTCCTCCAATCACAAATTCCATAAACCTAGTGCATCTTCTCTCCAACTCAGCCTGTGTCTGCTGCATTGCTCTCTAATTCACTTGGTGGCACCAGCATTGCCAAATCATCAAAATGAGACACGTTTAGAATCATCCTGACTCCTTCCCCATTGTATCCATCTTCAATAAATCATCAAGTTCTGCTGGGTTTGATTTTGTCTTCTAAACATGTTTTCTCCTACCATTGGGTGTGTGTTTTTAAAAATCAGGCTCTTTCCATTTTCCTTCTTGATCGCTAAAATGAGAGCCTCCTACTAGGTTTCCTGACTCCAGTCTTGTTCCATTCAAAGGCATCCTTCACACAGCAGCCAGAGTGATCTATTAAAGATACACTATTGACCATGCCTCTCCCTATCTTAAATCCCTCCAATGCCTCACCATTGCCCCCAGGATAAAGCTCGCACACTGAAGCATGACATATATGCATGCCCCTGCCTCCACCTATCACTTCAGCTTTATTGTCTGCAACTCCGCAGTTGGATATGTGCTCCAGAACACAGAAGCATTTGTACTTCTGTGTGCATGTGGTGTGTGATGCTGTAGGTGCTCTGTCTGCATCCTCTTACCCAGGGTTCAAGTGTCAGCCCTTGTGTTTCTTCGCCACTAGATGGTGTTTTTCTCTGGCCACTAGAGGGCACTCTGCCCATGTGAAACGCAGACTTGGGCGGTGCCAGGAAATTAACACCCCACGGAAGCAGCACTTGACCAATGCCAATGGGAACTGCTAGTGAGTCCCGGCTCCCTCGCCCCTTGGGCCTGATAATTTTAAGGCATGCTCTCACACCATTTCCCTGAATTTCCCAGTGGAATTAAGCTCCAGTCGCGCTCCAGTCGCCCACGGAGGTAACTAATCGGATGGTGCATCATTTATCGGTTGCCTTCCTTCTCATTTTCCAATCTGCTTGTGTTTACTGGGACCACCGCTGAGTAAATTACTTGCATTCAAATCCTTGTCTCAAGGTTTGCTTTTGGAAGAACCCAAACAAAGACACAAACCCTGTTCTATTTCACACTCAAATGCTTTTATTCCTGCCGTCTGTCCCTGGGTGGGAAATGTTCTTCCTTCCCTGCAGTTGGCTTCCTTTACCAGGCTAGCTCTTGTTTTCTGCCTCCACTAACCATTTAGAGACTACGACTTCCATAAGTCAGAGAGGAGGTTCAGAGGCTGCACTTGCTCCTTTGCAGTGACCTCAACAATTCTACAGTATAACCCTTGCCACCTGCATTACTGTCTTAACATCCATTTTTTCCTTTAAGTGTAGATTCCATGAGGGGAAAAACCACATGCCATTCATCTTCTTGCACTCCAATTATGTATCATGTGATTTGTAGTTTTTAGATGCCTACAATATAATACACACCCTAGACAGTCTGGTCCAAGGTAAATACTCAAAACTGTTGGTTGATTAATGACTTCCTGACCTTCATAGGAAACATGAAACCTTACAAATTGCTTTCATATGAATTCAACGATTTAATCCTTGCAATAATTCTATGAAGTCATACGATAATTATTCCCACTTTACAGATACAGGAAATGAGACAGGGAGGAGTTAAGTCATTGTTTTGGATCACACAGCTGGTAGTGGAAGAGAGGATCAGAGGACTCCTAAGGCCTTTCCCTGCTCTACACATGTGAGTGTGCCTCCTCCACACGGCATGCCCTAGGTCAGAGGAAGATGGTGTCACTGATTCATCATCAATTGTTCTTGAACTTGAAGTGTGGATTAATCGAAACTAATGCCTTCTTTAGTCCTTATCCAAAAGAGCACAGGCAGCTGATGTGCTAGGTAGGGCTGGGTGGGTGGAAGAAGTGCAGATAGCAGTCAAGGAGCAGAGCAAAGGTAAATGGCTTTCAAAGGTGATTTCTGTTTACCTTGGCTTTGAACAATGTGGTGATGCCATGAAGAAACCTGACTCTGCAGTAGGAGTCAGAGATCCTGCTTAAGTAAATGTGCATCCTCCTAATGACTGTGGTTTGGTGGGAAAGTCTGTTTATTACCTATAGTATTCGTTTGTTAGGGCTGTTGTAATAAAGGACCACAGACTCAGTGGCTTAAACAACAGATGTTAGTTTCCTCACAATTGCAGAGGCTGGAAGTCTAAGTTCAAGGTGTTGGCAGGTTGGTGTTGTCAGAGGGCTTTTCCCACGGTTGCAAACACGGTCTTCCCTATGTCTTCACATGGTCTTCCCTTAGGTTCTAGTCTCCTCTTTCTATTAGGGTACCAGTCATATTGGGTTAGGTCCCCCAAGGACCTCAGTTTAACTTAATTACCTCTTTAAAGATGCTGTCTCTAAATACAGTTACATTTTGAGATCCTTGGGGTTAGAACTTCAACATATAAATTTTGGGGAGACATAATTCAGCCCATTATGCCTATATTTTTATTTTCTGCTTAAAAATAGAGAAAAAAGAGAAGACCCTACCCTCTAAAATTCATTGCATAATTACGCAGTCCAGATCCCCTCCCACTTTGGTTTATGCCCTGTGATGTAAATGCCTCCGTGGTATAAAATGACCAGCAGCCAGGGATGTCTTAGCAATTGTTTGTCTCCCTGAATATTCTAATGAATGCCAGCTCCTCTAACACTCTTTTGTTTTTGTTTTTTGAGACAGAGTCTCACTCTATTGCCCAGGCTGGAGTGCAGTGACGGGATCTTGGCTCACTGCAACCTCTGTCTCCTGGGTTCAAGTGATTCTCATGTCTCAGCTCCCTGAGTAGCTGGGGTTACAGGCGCCTGCCACCATACCTGGCTAATTTTTGTATTTTCAGTGGAGATGGGGTTTCAGCACCTTGGCCAGGCTGGTCTTGAACTCCTGGCCTCAAGCGATCTACCCACCTAGGCCTCCCAAAGTGCTGGGATTATAGGCGTGAGCCACTGCGCCCAGCCTCATGCCCTTTTCCTTAGTTTTATTTCTCAGTCTTTCCATCATTTGAAATATTCTGATGTCTTAAATAATAAAATTGTGATAATAATATTAGCTACTTTCTTGAGCACTTACTTTGTGCCAAGCACAATGCAAAAGACTGCACATACATCATCTCATTTAATGTTCACCACATCCCCATGAGACAGATACAAGTAAGACCCTTATTTCATCTATGGGGAAACTGAAGGATGCGGAGATTAAATACTTTACCCAAGCCCCATAGTTGTTATGACGTAGAGCTGGAATTTGTACCTAGACAGTCTGACAACAGCCCATGCTACTGCTAATAATAACTATAATTATAGCAACAACAACAGCAATAAAATAATAATGACAAGCAGGAATAAGTGTCATGGGAATTAGAAACTGGTTTAGGTTTGTCCGTCTGACTGGATGGTCATTTCACAGTGGAGGGGTAAGAAAGAGCTTGAAGAAATATGGCCTGAGTTCAGATCTTGATTCTTTGGTATCCTACTGGA